CCAAAACACTGTCTATCATTTAGTGCCTGATACTCCTGCAGGGACTTACCAGTGCTTATTAAACAAATTTAACCTGCTTTGTAACACTTGTATTTAATGATACAATGAAATGTGAATTATTTATCATGATCTTTTCCCAGCATTGTAACAAATAAAGGTAAAAGCTTCCAAATGCTGGAAATACATAAGCTGTAATCCAAGTGCAGCTGACTTTCTGCAAATGTTTGCTGTTGACGTGACTTGCACAGACCCTCCAGACTAGTTTAAAGCAAAGTTTCCTCTCGTGCTTCTCTTGCACATACTTATCCAGAAAAAAAAAAAAAAAAAAAAAAAAGCCATTTTTCACTGCTGATGACAACAGTTGTCAGAAAGCTGCTAGCTTCTTAAGACAAATTAGTTATTTTCCAAAGAAGTTTAGCATAAAATTCCCACTGACTTCCATGAGGCTAAGTTGAACCAAAACCACCCTGATGGTCTCATCCAATTCCTGAAGAAACAGTTCTACTTTCAGCAATGGCTTTTATATCACCTTTGGGGAGGAACAGGGCTAAATGAAGGCCCTGAATAGAACAACACATTAATTGTGTTGAACTCCTTCCATTGAACTCGACACTGGAACAGAGCCAGTTCTGTGCAGCCTCCAGTACATCGGCTCTACCACTAGTTCTGCTTTGGGATATTGCTCTTTGTCTTGGTTTGCTGCCCTCAATGATCTGAAAGACACTAGCTTCCCCTGGGTTTCCTTATGTCGAAGGGGTACTGCTGGTCCCACAAGCAAGGCGATGGCTTCAGCCAGGCCTTATTGCAGGAGAACTCCCACCATCCAGGTTGGAGCTTGGTCATCTGTGTGATTTTCCATCTCCTAGTTGGTGCCTGTGATGACTTTATGACCCCTTGGAAACCTCTCCTGGCAGGTAGGGGTATTAAACCTGGACACACCAAAACAGCAGAGCAGGGGTTTCATTTCTACTGTCAAGTCCAACTTGCCCTTACAAGAACCATCTACTCTGCAAAGAGAGTTGGAAGAAAGTTTCAGAGAAACACCATAAAGTGCCCATGGATGTCAAGCAGAAGAAGCCTTTGCTCTCATTGAACCATGGGCAAGTGCAGCATTTGCCCCCAACTCACCTGGATTTGCCCCAACCCAAAGAGGCAGCACAAGACATACGCTGCCTATCCTTCAGTGTGAAACCCTTACACTACTTGTGAGAAGGAACCTCAGCAGGATTTGTTTAGGTGGAAATTTTGTACAGAGCTGTTTGTTAGTACTCCTTGGGCTTGGGTCAGTCCCTCTGTGCACCAACACAGACAGGGGGGTTTGGGATTTGAGCCGTGTTTGCTCTTGTTGAGTGGTTCTTTACCAGCCACAACTCCACTTTTCATGTCCACTGCCTGTCCCAAGCAGCGCTAACAGAGGCATTAACATGAAATATTTTATTTTTGCAGTGGTGAAGGAGCAACTTTCCCCTGCAGCTCTGCTGCCTGTCGCCCCGCAGCAGAGCGAGGATGCGTCCACAGGAGCTGTTCGTTTCGGGAGATGCTTCTTCTTCCTTGCCCATGAGCAAACCGGCTGCAGGGGCTGGGGGGCCGCGTGCCGAGAGCGGCGGCGGCCGAACCAGCGAGGCGAGCGCCCGGCTCCGCGCGGAGCAGTACGCGCCAGCAGTGCTACAAATGTTCTCTTTAGTATGGAAACGAGCCAGGGGCAATAAAAACGCCATAAAAACGTCAAAATGACGGATTGCGCGAAGCCACGGCCTTTCTAGAACCAAACTTGTAACAAAGTTTTTTTTTTTCTTAAAAGCCCTGCTTTAAAAGAAATGTCATTTTTGCTTAACTTTGTTGTACAATTTATCCCTGCTTCAGCGCGTTGTTAAATGATTGCAAACAAGAGCGACTGCAGAAGGGCAGCGGGAAAGAGGCGACTGATGTTAAGTGGAATTTGCACATGATGATGACTCGGGATGGAAGCAAACTGCTATAACCTCATCACTCACACTAACGCTGCCCCTTGATGGGGATACAGGGCATATTTAGGTACTAATTTTTTGAGCAGCAGCAATAAAACATCATGCTTAATGACATACAAATGAAGCACCATGTTAACTCATGTAATTCCATCAGAAAGTGCTCAGGAACAGCAGTTCGACTCTTTAATTACTCAGATCAAAGGCAAATAATAAAAAAAAAAAAAGGCATTTTGAAGCCTGCTCCAAAGTGTTATTTATTACTCCTCTGCCCAAAGGAGGAATCGGCTCAGATGATGGAAATTGCACTTCAAACCAGTTTTCCTTAGTGAAAATGGGAAAAGTGTATTGGTTGCTTTGCTGGTGTTCATGTACACTATCCTGACATTATAACTGACACTGGCAGAGGGTGGAAGGGAAAATAAAGAGTAAAAGCTAAAATAAGAACAGATAAAGGTCACTGCTCCATACATCTCTCTCACAGACCTGAAGCAGATAAACGCCCATGAGGACGCCTGGGCTGAGCAAAAAATACCAGATGGGCATCCTCCTTCCTCTAGACATTGCTCTATAAAGAAAATATATATATGCTACTTAATAAACAGTGTAATACTATTATTTTAAATATGCTTTTTATTAGATATTACTTCCTATTTTCAACTACACTTTTGTTATAATTTGCATTAGTAGCATACTTTTAAAACCTGGTGCTCTCCTCTGCTCTACTCCTAAGTTGTCCTTGTCAGGCCTTGTGTGTATGGGGAAAAAGATGGATTCCTGCCTCGTAAGCATGAGCAACAGAGCAGCCCATTGATCATGTATGTTTATGCTTGAATTTGTATGTAAAGCCTTTACAATCCTGGAGCTCACATTCAGGTGGGAGAAACTAACTGCTGCAGCTCCAGTAAGACTATCTGGAATGATAATATGTGTGGGATGGATGTACACACACGGCTACACTGCTGTTTATACAACGAGTTATTTGCAGACCCAGTAAACGTCAGTTTTAGCAGCTCCAGTTTACATAAATAATGCCATTGCTTTAGCAATAATCTAGAAAGTGCTGAAATTGCACACTGAGAGCCTGGAAGGTGACAAGATCAGGCAAGCTGGGTGCGCAGCCCAACCGAGGGCTGTGGTGTGCCAGATATTGCTGGGAAGTATGCAGTGCATGTGCACTGTTTGAGAGTTAGCTGGTCCTCGTGCTCTCCCTGCTGCTGCTTCTTAATTAGATTTCTTTAGGGTCCAAGGGACCACCAACTGAGCCCATGTGTCCTGGATGAACTCTTCATCCTAGCAGCTTGCCCATCATTTTCCATGTGATCAATGATCCCTGTCCACAAAGTACCCTTGACTTGAAGACTTGAGGGACATCTACCCCTTCATTTGACAATTCCTCCCTAAACAGCTGTATTTCCAATTTAAATGTGTCTGTCTTCATACTCACAGAATCACAGTTGAGGTTGGAAGGGACCTCTGGAGATCACCTGCTCTGACAGAGTCACCTAGAGCATGCTGCTCAGGACCCTGTCCAGACAGCTTTGGAATAATTCCAAGGATGGAGACTCCACATCCTCTCTGGGTAACATGTTCCAATATTGACCATTAGTTGCTGTCACATCTTTCTCTGCCCATGGGCCAGACAGAGCAAAGATTGAAAAACCTTGCAATGACTCTGTGTGTGACACTCCTTTCCCAATGGATGTCGTGGAGTTTTTTTTCCACTGACATCTCCAAGAGTTGCCACAGACTGCAAAGTTTATAACACAAACATTGAGTTCAGGATATCTAGAGGTCCATACCAAGTCCCCCATGTAGGAGAGATGATGCTCAGGGAGAAAACAACAAAGCCATGATAAGTTCCCCATCAACATCTGATCACCTCCCAAATTTCACCCACTGCTACACGTCCCCTGGAGCTCCTGGATGAAACTGTGACTTTTCTGAACTTTAAACTGTCCCAGCTTGAAAGCTGGGACAAGTAGCGAGATATCTCTGCCTGTAGCCCTGCGGGGTTGGAGGTGTTGGGCTCCACTCTGTACCCAAATCTACATCACTGGGCTTGTGGTGCAACTCTGATCTTGCCTCTAGAGACAAAGAGAGCAGAAATAGCTCCAATTCCCTAAAAAACAGAAAAATTTCCAAACCACTTAAAAAAAAAAAAAAAAAAAAAAAAAAAAAAAGGATGCCTCTGCTAGATTCAGATTCAGAGCATGAGGAGACCACAATGTGGTGCAAAAGGTGCTTTAACAGTGCTCTGTGCTGGGATACCTGCAGGTGTTCCTAAGGCACACACACACAGATTGCTATCCTGCTTTTAAAACACACCACGTTTACACAGCCCTACCCTCTCCTGACCTAATCCCAGGCTTTTATTCCGTTCTAATTTCTATGCTGACAAGCACTCTGCAGCCGGCTGTCTTTTTGATGTGTTCAGTCACCGTATTTACCACCGACGGAAAACGAAAATGACACTTTTTATTTGCAAATGGCTGATAAAAGTTCTCAGTTTAAAAGGGCTGACAGTACAAAGATTGTCCGTACAAAGTTTAAAAAAATGCCACGCACAAGTTGACATATAAGGCCATGTTTGATCTGCAACGCAAATAAAATAAACAAAGGTGGTGAGTTTTAAACCCCAATCTCCTTTGATCCTTGAAGCCACATGTCTTTATAAGAACAACTGCCTTCTGTAATAAAGTCTGGCACATACATATATATGCATATTTGTATATACATATATATATACATATAAGGAAAAAAAAGCTTCCAGACTACAGCAGTCAGAAGGCACCCTCGGCGTGGTGGGTTGTGCTGTATGAGACAGACAGGATTTCTTCTTTTAGCCACCCTAAAGAAGAACCTTGTCTCCTGCCGTGCCCCGGACAGTGCTGCAATGTGAGGAAGGGAGCGAGAGCAGCATGGGCAGCAGCTACGAGAAGCAGCTGTAGTTCCTGGGGGAGCATTAGCTTATTAACTCCTTGAAGCAAGAGGGTGAATTTAGTGCAGAAAGGCATTTTCTTTTTGCATTAAATGGCTCAACATGCTACAGCCATTAAGAACTCCTGCCTAACTCCTGCCCTGTATCCGCAGCCTTCAGTGCTTGTATTTAAGCTGCTCTGAAGACATGGGGACGTGGCCAGATACCCATGCTCTGAACTTTGTTGTACAGACTGGAAAAATTTGTGTTAGCAAACCTAACCGACCCCTCCCCTCCCCAAAACACACGTGCAATGAGGTTTCTTAATTATTAACCTGAAGACTACTGTGAGGGATACACGGATTTCCCACTACAGTATCAAGCTCCACGTGAGTGTGAAGGTCTCCCACCTCCTCCTCCTCCTTTTCCCATGCCCAGGTGCCACTGGAGTGCCTTGGCTACTGCCAGCACAGCCTGTGGCAATGCATGGAGATGCTGGTGATGGACATAATGGACTTGAGAACTGGGAGGCAGAGAGGAAGGAAAGCAGGAGCTCTGGGGACTCACCACAATGCACATTTTGACCTCCTGAGCCCCCTGCTTGTTTTATGGGCTCGCAAATGATGTTTCTCACGGAAAGGACGGCACCAGCAGGACCTGCACTGGTGTTAGGGGCTCACATGTGGCCAGTGTGAAAAGGCACGTTGCCCGCGGACTCCCACGCTGAGCCAAACCACTCCATGCTACAGGGAGCCTGTGCTGAGCATGGCAGCTATAGAACCTGAAAAAAAAAATCTTTATTTTCTTTGATCAAAAATACGTATAGAAATGCCTGCTTTGAGGAAAATATCATACTATTTTTTTTTTCTTGTTTAACAAAATAAATTAAATATACATGACTTCTGTTTAAACTCTATATAGAATTACAAAGGTTTTATATTTGCAATTGGATCCACTTCCAGTCCACTTTAGGTTTTTAATACCGTCCTTTTAAAAATCTTCTCTGCTTTTTGTTTTCGCTGCTGTTTGCATTGAAATGAAGCGGTATCTTTTTCAAATGTTATTTGGAAGGAGAGGAGGAACCACACACAACCTAGGTGCACATTTCTCAAATTCATTTTTTCCTACAAGATTATTTTTTTACTCTCTTGCTTTCCTTTAATCTAATGTTTTCATGTAGTTTGCGTTGACATAAAAAAATCCAGTAGCTTGTCACCATAAGCCATCAGAGAAGGACAGCAAGTTCCACTTTCTTGACCATTAGCAGTTCAATTATTATTATTAATTATTATTATTTCTTAAATATAAATATAAAGGTGTTCTGTACAATGTCCTTCTTCCCATCCTTTTTTTCTCCAGGCAGTGGCACTGAGCAGGAAGAGCAGCACTTGCACATTGATCTTCATTCCCTACCATGCTGGCAACATGACACCTTCAACCTGCGGAAATTGGCCCATCCAGCTCGGTTATCATTTCAAACATGACATTTCACAACTGCTTTTGTCAAGCATTCAGCATTTCACATCTCGAGTGGAAATTTCTTTTTCCAGAACCTCTCAGGTGCCTTTTTTCGTCATGGAGAAGGTGAGTTGATTGCATCTCCTGGTCCTATGGCATTAGCTCTCAGGTACTTGAAGACTGGAGTCACTCCGAATGAGAAGACTCCCCGTGTGCACCCAAGGGCTGGTGACCTCCCGCCCAACTGAGTGATTTTCTGGGGGACTCCTGAGGTTCAGCAGGTGCAGGGGCTGCCATGCCCACCTGGAAAAACATCCTGATCTCCTCATACCTTCCATGCTGCAACACAAGGAAGGAGGTGATCACTCATGTCCCTGTGTCACCTGCATGGAGAGGTCTGTGCCGTCTGGAGGGTTTCCTTGCTGCTGAGACTTGGAGCTCCTTCATCATTCTTCAGCTACATCCTGATGGCAATAATTAAAAAAAAAATCTCTTTTCTCTCTCTCTGTCTCTATTATATATATATTTATATAGATAGATATAGATATATACACATATATATATACACACATACACACACGCATATACAATTATATATATATGTATATATATATTTAAAACTATATATATATAATCTTTTCCGTCGGCTTTGCCCATTGCTGGCAGTGCGAGCTGGCTCGGAGCAGTCTCTTCTGAGGTACCACGAGGAAAAGCCCAAGGCGAGCTCCCGTCGGCGGGCGCGCGCTCAGCACTGGTACTGAATGTGCTGGTGCTGGTGGACCTTGCCCTCCACGTGCGAGTGGGTGTGGGTGTGGATGTCCGTGTAAATCTTTGGGTACATTTTGGACGCCATGGCCGGGGCAAGGGCCGGTCCTTGGGAGAGCAGGTGCTGCTGCTGGGCCACGTATTCCTCGTAGTTGATGGAGGAGATGCAGTCCTTGTCGGGCACCTGGGGGACGCAGATGCGGTCGCGGGGCTGCGGCCGGTGTGTGGACACCGCGGCTGGCGGGGAGCACGGCTTCTTCTTGGTCTGGCAAAGCCACAGCAGGATCGTGCCGAAGATGAAGACGGCTCCGGCCGGGATGCCGATGATGACGGGCCAGGGAAGGCTGCTGGCCGAGGAGGGCGGCACGGGCGCGCTCGGAGGCTTGGGATCTGGGCAGCGAGGAGAGGGGCAGATGGAAAGGGTTAATGAAAGGCAGACAAAGCATAAGCAAAACAGATATCACACAAGGCTGGCCTTGGTACAGACTCTCCCACAAGCCTGGAATGGAGAGAGAAGCCAACCAGTGTTTGATGCCTGAGAACTGTGTAGTATCACAGTGCTCCCAAAAGGGCAAACAACTCATATTCTCTGGGCTAGGGACCCTCGGGAGTGAATACAAAATAAAATCTCTCTTTTTTTTTTTTTTTAACATTATTACCCATTTTTAATGGTTTCACTAAAACCAGCCCACAAGATAATCTGCTAAGAGCCTCATTCCATTTGATACCCAGATTGGAGGACATAGAGCAAGAGCTCGCCCTGTCTGCCTCCAGCAGACATATCTGTGCTAAACTTCCTCAAGACACTACTGTTTTTTTTCTCCCCTTGATAACTATGGTTAGTTTGAAATATTAAATATATACCATGTGGTCCTTTTGAAGTCAGAAAGAACTATGCTGTTGACCTCAAGAGACAAAACTTTGATCCACAAAGACTGGAAATCACAGAAATAATGCAGGCTGGAAGGGGACTCTGGAGGTCATCTGGTCCAATTCCCCGCTGAAGAGAAGGCAGGATGAGGGAACTGACCCATCAGCTGACCATGAAAACAACACTCTTCATGTCTGTTGGCAGAAATCCTCTACTGGGCTGAAATGAAAGCCTGACATTTTGATAATTGTCCATGCTATTTTTCTGAGCTGTCTATGACAGATCTGGTATCCTTACAAGCAGAGCTGTGTTTTTCTAACTCATGGCCTTGCAACCACATCTTTGCATCTGTGGGCAGGCTGGGTTCTCCTTCTCCACCACTGCCAACGACAACAGGCCTGCAAGCTCTGGTTTTGGATGAGGCCTCATTATGCTCCCACTTAAATCAATGGAAAGTCTCTCACTGATTTCAGTGGGAGATGGATCAGATTCTTCTATCTTGGAAATTCCCAGAGGCTTTAAATTACATCCCACCCATGCAGCCTTGTCCTCGGGAGTGACATCTTTCTAGTTGGAGTTTAGTCCCCAATTCTAAGTTATGCAGAAGAAGGCATCAAAGCGGCATCCAGATTTTCCTCTTCCTTGGGAACTTGCTGTAGGTGTTTAAATTTGAGATAATGACTCCCAGTGACTATTGAGATGCCAATCTTGGCATCACAGAGTAGCAATGCTGCCTTAGTTACTGGAGTCATGAGGATTTTCCCCTTTATGGCACAAGGAACTGGTCCTAAGAGTTGGAAGGAGTTAATATTCTCTGTCTCTCTTTGTTGCCAGAATCCTGGCTTCAGCTCCTGCACATTCTTAGTTGTCTTGGCCTTGCAGTGGTAGAAGGAAGAAAAACTCAATAGACTGATTTTGTTAAGGTGGTGGATCTCATGCTAACTTCACATGGCAAAACGAGGAAGATGGAGATGCCATTAAAAATGAATGAATGAATGAATGAATGAATGAATGAATGAATGAATGAATGAATGATAAAAAATTGGAGCAGAAGTGCACTCTCAGGAAGCAAAGGAGTAAGTTGCTAAGTGATCAGGGTAAGCCTGGGGTACACACTGTGTGACCTCAGCTGGTCACAGCCCCTGGCTCTAAGGCCCGGGGGTGGGACACAGCTGTGAGTTTGGCACAATGGCTCCCGGCCCACCACGGGGTAGGAATTTAACTAACCAATCTGTCTCTCTTTTACACCAGCTCTTTTCCTTTCCATGTGACTAGGACCATTTTCATTCTTCTCTCATTTTATGGGCCTGTATCATTGTTTTCTTGTACCAGTAGAGCAATACAAATAAAAGCAAGAGAAAGGAGAAAATTAAGGCAATGGGGCTGCAAATTCTGTGGTTATTGAGTTCCTTCCTTACTAGAGCCTGCAACTGCAGTATGATCTTCCAGCTCCAACTTCTGCATTTTCACACTGATTTTATTTTGCTTTGCTGGAATCCTTACTCTCCATGCAGGAAGAAGAGGAACTACCAGCAAGCACAAACTTGCAGTAGTGTTTTGTTCTTCATTTAATGGAACTGGGCTGGCCTAAGTCAGCATTGCATCACAGGGGCCCCTGGAGCCCAACATGGTGAGGATGGGCAACAGCAGTTGCATTAATGAATATCATTAAGCAGAGCTTAGGTTCCTTGGGCAAAAAGGAACAACTCACCTGGCAAGACTGTGAGAAAGGCACTGCGAAAGCTGTAGCCCATTGTGTTTGCCCCCAGGCAAATGTACATTCCTGCATCCTCTTCCTTGGCTCGAGTAATCATCAGTTTGTTCAGGTAGGAACCATCGGGACGGGACCAGACCTCTCCCGTGGGCAGCACAACAAACTTCTGGCCCCCGACATCAATGGTGGAGTTGTACTTGCTCTCCGTGCCGTACTCTACCCTCTTCAGCCACTGGATGACGGGTTTGACATCACTGCGCACTTTGCATTGGAAGGATGTGGTCCCACCATAGTCTACTGTTGTGTTGACAGGATGTGTCCCCGTCAGGATGGGCTTGGACCGCGTCCTCTCTGCACAAAAACACAGGGAGCTCCATGGAAAAACACGTGTTGGCCAAACTGATTAGCTCACAATTGCAGAAACATAGGAACAAAACATAGGAGGGATATGGAAATAAAATTAGCCCAGCTCCTTGCCCCAAGGCTGGTTGAGATGTCTCCAAATGTTTTTTAAATAAATAAAAATTTGCCCAGCCTCTGCCACAGCCTCTAAGGTAGAGGCTCCACAATCTCTCCAGACAACTCCTCCACTGCCTTGAGCCTTAGCAAGTCTTTTCGCATGTCTAACCTGAATCTTCCTACCTCTAACATGAACCCATTACAGGTTATTTACAGGTGTGTATCTACAGAAAGTCCACATTAGAACCACTGTGGCTCCCCATAGTTTTGAGACACTGATGTGGAATAAGAGAAGTTCCATTTCCTTCTTGTCTTCCCAAGTGTCTCCTAAGGAGAGACTGAATCAGATGGGGAATGGTTCTTCCTTTATGTGGTGTCCAACAGCAGTGAGGGTAGGCTGTGGATGTTGCCTCACCTGTGCCCTGGGAGTCCCTCAGGAGATCTGTCTTGGTTGCCAGGCCTGACTGATGCCCATGGGGACCAAAGACTATGGAAGGCCATCCCATGCTGTTCACTGCTGAGATGAGCCAAAACCTCAGGCACTACAGGTGAACAAGACGTCCACTTCATCCTCACCTCCCCACATTTACTATTCCTTTCCTCATCTGATGGTCCACAGTATTTATGGAGAAGGAATTATAAAACCTTTTGTTTCTGTAGCCAAAAAGAAAACCTCCCCTTTTCCATAAAACTCTTCCTTCAGTCTCAGCTGGTGAAAGAAACAAGATGGTAGGAGAGAAAATCAAACATGAGGAGTTCTGTACACTCATAAGACTGTCCTTCCCAGCACGATCATAACCCTTAGGTTGTGTCACTTGCGTAAAGTCAAAGGAAAAATACAACATATCTCCCATTTCTGAAGAACTAGAATCTTTCTGAGCATGAGCACCAGAAAAATTAGTGAGATGGGAGGTACTGCAAGTAGTGTAGGGAGTGGAATTGCAGGAGAACAGTGGGTGGTAACTGCTGGCAATGATCAACCTCTTCTGACAGCAAACGCTGTAGGACTGAGCACGTAACAACACAGCTGCCACCACCACTGGCTTGGAGGTGAGAGAAAAGGAACAATGGACCTTCTTTCAGGCAATCAGGATGCTATCAATAACAGAAGCTTTTAAGATATGCTCGGGGAAACGCTGCCGGAGCAGCAAAAATACCACATTGTTCTGTGCAGACTGTGCCGAAAGACCACGAGCAGGAATCACAGCTGGGGAGACTAAGACTCAGATAAGCAGGTCAGACTTAAGAGTGGAGGCTCGGGGGAAAAAAAAATGGAAGGGGAGGAAATTGAATAAAACCTGAAATGCTCTACAGAATGATGTTAAAAATAGAAACATGTCTGAAAACTACTTAATGTTCTTATCTACTTGGTTCTGGTTCCAGCTTTGGTTACTGTTTTCACTCCTAGCCAGCAAAAGCTAATGAAAACAAAGGTTACACACATCTTTAAGTTGATAAAAACCAAGATAAACAGGGACACAGAAAAGGGTTTGTTCCTGGTGCTGTCTGGTTTTGATGAAGTGAAAACGCCACAGCTGCCATTAGGATGGGGCTTGATTCATTTCCCTGTCTCTGCTCCTGGTTTTAGTGTAAACACATGTTTTTACTGTCTCCACACAGCTGCATCTTTATCAATCCCAGATGTCCAGCAGGTTTGTACATTTGGAGCCCAGTGGAGCTCCCCACATGTGCTTTTAATTCCTGTTATTCTAGAGAAAGGAGTTATCAGAGAACAGATCTTTACCTTTAAGAAAGGTCTTTCACACTAGGATAAACTTTCTCAGGCTTAAATGTATGCACAGAAAGAGCTACAATGTGCTTTCCATGTGGCTAGTAGCAGCCCTCATGCGCCTGCTCCTCAGTAATGAAGGATATTTGATCTTCCCCCAACTTTGCCCATCTTCTCCTCTTTCTTCAGTTGGCTGCTTCAGAGTCATTTCCATGACAACTCACAATGATGTCATGGGCAAAATACTATGATTTAAGAGTAGGCACTCTTCTCAGCTAGGCTTAGGTAGCTTTCTGAGCTTAATTATCTTCAGTAATAATAGAGGAAGCAGGAGATTAGAGTCCCAGAATCAGGGAAGTTAGACACGAAGGAAAGTAATTTACTTCACTCCACTGCAAAGCAGGGTAATCCTCCACAGCTCATGTCCTAAGGGCCAGATTTTAAAGTCATGTTGGCATCACATGGGAGCCAAGTGGGATTTCTGCAGCAGCCCATTAGCACCCACCTGAACCTTCAGATACCTAAATGCCTTTTAAAATCTGTCCCTAAAGACTTGTCTGGCTAATGACTCTACTCATTAGTCATTTCTACTAAGTTCCTTGGAAGACTTCTCTAGTGAGGTGGGTGTCTTCTGACAGACATCTAGCTGAAATCTTTCATTGATTGGTTTCATCCACTCTGATAGAGCAATCTGTGCCACTCTAAATATTTCCACCCCTCTCTAAGGTATCTTAGGGGACTTAGCAGTTGGTTCTCAGTTTGTCCTTAAAGTGACTCCAGCTGTGACATGAGATTGAACTGGGCAACTGTGAACGTTTGCCATGAGTGTGTCCTTACAAATGACCATTCACTCAGTCTCGCTCTTCATTTCAGACAACTAAATTGTATTATTCAGGATACTACTCAGTCCAGCCCAGGTCTAGCCCTACTCTAGATCCTGAATAGTGTTTTTTGCTGTGGTGACCAATGTCTGTGGCAGTCCCTCACATCTGTGTCCAGTTACCGGCACTGTATGGTTGCTTCCACACTTTGTTTACTCATTTAGCTCCCTTGTCACAGCTCCCTCCCCACTTTCCCATGCCAGACCCCATACTTACGGATGACTTCAACTTTGTAGGTTGCATTAATTTCTCCAACTTTGTTGAACACTCGGCAAGTGTATTTGCCACTGTCCTCTGGCTTTAGGTTCTTCAGGTTCAGCGTCCACTTCTTCTTCTTGTTCTCCCCAATCTCTTGGGGCGTGAGGGGCTTATTGTCCTTTAGCCACGTGATGTCAGGCCGAGGGTTCCCACTGGCCACACACTTCAGGCGGATGGAGCTCCCGACGGGACGGGCGATCACCCTCCGTCTCATCTTGGCAGGCTGTGTGAACCGAGGACGGGCTGCAGAAGGCATGAAATACAGAGGTGAAATATGGTGATGAGCATCAGGCATGCAAAAGGACACTGCTGTCACATGCTATGGCCAGATGTGCTGGTGAGGCACCCAGCAATGCCAAGCATGCCCATATATCACTGTATCTATCTATCCCATGCACGGGGCTCAGACTGATTTCCTGAGAAAGGAAGAATAAACCAGCCTTACACTGGAGGACTAGAGCACTATGACCACCGTATTAGCCTTCTGCAAAATACAAACCCGAAATTCCTCCGTGTCCTTAAGTCAACCAAGTCAGACCATCTCACAGAATACTATCAAAATCACACTACTGTAACTCAAGGCAAAATGTGGCACCATAATCACACTCTAATTATTACTATATTCCATGCCATAAATACAAGCCTTTAGCCAAGAGACAACTCAGACTCCCACAGGGCTGAACAATTTTTTTTCCTGGTCACCTGAAGCATAATTTTCTGTGGTGTTTTGCCTCCTTAGTTCTTACTGGTTTTAATGAGAACTGAAAAGGTCACTAGCTGCTGGTGCTTGGAGTCAGGCATCAGTCAGGAGTGGTGCCAGGAATTCTGGCAGGAGTCAGGAATTCTGATTGCACCTTGCTTGACCAAGGAAATCACAAAAATTTCTGACAGCAGTAACAGTGAACACAAGAGAAATGCAGCTCACCGCTTGGCAAAAAGTAGAATTTCTACCCTTGACTGCACCCAACATGAATTCCTCCCTGATTATGTCAGACTTCCAGAGGGAGGAGAAGTGGCACCTCTGTGCACTGGCAGCTCTACTCACACTGTACCTTCCTGTAAAATCATGACTCAATTCAATTAATCAATACAGAGCAACTAAACTGCAATAGCTTTTAAGACAGTTAAAACAACAGAACACAATCTGTTACAAGGCGAAAGCTTGTCTAATACAATCCTGTAATGAACAACTCAAAAGAAATTACAAATTTCCCACAGTTACTTTAATTATGCAGTGCCAGTCCAGGGGCACTTCTGACGGCAGACTCCTGTTGAGATTAATGACATTTCTGACTCCCACTTGGCACTCTCCCACTGCATCCAGGATACTCCTGCCAAATTCACCTCCCTTCTTTTTTATTTTGGCAAAGCTACATTCCTTGCAGAGACCACTTGGTACTCCACAACACTTTTTGAATCTTTTTGCTTGCCATAATCTTTATTCTTCAGCCTCAAAGTCACTCTGCATTTTCTCACTCCCTAGTAAACCCTCCCTGCTTTTTTCTTTGGAAATAAGGGAAATATATAAAGAGTGTACTTCTCCATGGCACGTTGGGTTGGGTTAGGCAAGACCGAACAGTCACTGATTTCAGCAATGGGTTATAGAGAGCCACAAGCCCTCAAAGTAATCTGAGGAGGTCAACAGATGAGCAGCAAGTGTCACATCCCAGGCCCTAACTCATGCCACAGACTACAGTGTAGAAATGGCTGAGCAGCCCCTTGATGATCTCCTGCAACAGATCATCCAGAGGAGGCCTCCTTCCTGATGAAAACAATTAATCCCATCAGGGTTACCTGTTCAGAGCATCAAAGTGAAAAAAATTAAGTCCAAGGTAAGAGACACATGTTGGTAAAGGGTTGCCATTGTGGAAATGGAGTGGCATGGCAGGTTAAGGGGTTAAGAATCAGTCATGAAACAGGTCAAAACTAATCTATAATATGGCAATAATTTAGTCAGACACTAGGAACTGCAAGCTCAAGTAGGGATAGACTCTTGCTCGACGGAATTCCTGAGCTAGAGTTAGCATATCTGGAGCAGGTTGGAGATAGGAAGGTCGCTTACGTTGTCTGCATGGAGTGAAGAGTCAAGGCCATGGCCTCAGGCCACCCCTTACATCTTCCCTGGTTCCACAGCAGTATTTCAAAAGGATTTGGACACCTTGCTCAGTAACAGTATTGTGAGATAGAAACTGTGTCTTTCCTCCCACGAAGCACGTCTTTAGCATCTCAGGTTTTCCTCCTCCTACGGCTCCCACAAATCCATCTGGGATTTTGCATTCATGTGTCCTGCGACGTTGCCCAGATACCCAACAAGATGCAGGTAAAGTTAAACTTCTCTGGCTCTTTCTATCATTCTTCTGTTTAAAGAAGGTTAAGCAATCATGTGGACTCAAAAGCTACTGCAGGCTGTGTGCAATATGTTGAAACCAGATCCCTTTTAGACAGTCCTGAATGTTTCCTTGACAAAAGCCTGAATTGGCCAAGTTTAGAAAGGCCAATTAACAAAAACGGAGAAACACACACAAGAGAGAGAAAGAGATCCAGCAAGCACAAAGGAGAAAGAGAGAGAAGCAGCACTGTAAGAGAGAGGCAGAAAAAGTCTCTTTTGAATTGGCACTTGTAAATGTCTGTCCCCAAATCTGTACCATTTACAGAAGTTTGCTTGTTGAAATGCCAGAGAAGCCCATTACAAAGTGCCTCTGTGTTAGTTAGGCTTCCCATGCTTGTTCTCCTTCACATCACTTGGCGTTCGCTTCATAAACATGAACTGTGCATTTGTACAGCATAAATTAAGCCACACACAAGAGCAAGGAAAAACACAAGTGGATGGGGACAAAGAGACAGTATGTGTATGGATTTCTTGCTGAAATGCTGTTTACCATGACAATTTATTCAGACTAATGAAAAAGGAATGAAGCAGTTCCTGAGAGTTGGCATGAACACCTGGGAAGGGAGTTCAATGTCTCCTCTGCTCAGAAATACCTCAAGGTGTATGGATTAGTTCCAGAAGCTCCACATTGTCCATAAAATAATTGATAATTTTAGTAATTGATAATTTTAATATTACACACATCTACTCTCATAGTACTACTGTGACAGCAATTCATCACCACCAGCTCTCCGTGAAGCCCATCTGCCATGGCATTCAATATCTGTTCCTAACTCCACTACAGTAAGGGTGGAGAGAAGTCAGATTATCTTGCTAGCTTCTGAATCCATATTAGGGGGCTCCTGACATGGAGTTTATCCAAAGCCACGTTTTCTTTTGCTTTAAAGTGTTTTCATCCTTTTCCAGAATGAGTGGAGCCTACTGTCCTCTCCCAGCACAAGCTCAAGTTCAAATGAATCTATGCCACATGCTCTAGGTGTCCCTGCTCGAGCAGGGGGGTTGGACTAGATGATCTCTAGAGGTCCCTTCCAACCTTAACCATTCTATGATTCTGTGAATTGGTAATTTAAGGCTGGTATGGCACTGTTCCTCCCCTTGGTGTGGACTGGACTACACTGCATCACATTAAATTTCCTCTTTGGCAGCTTCTGGAGAAAAGTGGTCTCAGCTCAAGTGGTGGAGACTTTTCAGGCTGAGCTTAATGAGTTCCACCCCTACGTCTGCTATGAGGCAAATGTAGGAGGAAGCCATCCCTGTATCATAAAACTAAAAGGAGGGATGTGCTGTGAGAGCAAAATGGAAGTGCTATGCCTCATCCCTCAGAGTCATAAACTCACATCACACTCCTGTCAGTAAAGGCCAAAATCTGTTTGGCATCAATCCGACAGCTTATTGTCCTTAAAGGAGTGCTTTGGCCAAGCCTGGATCTGCAAGCCTTGCAGTGACTCAGAACCTGTTCCAAGTGAGATTTTAGCAGTTCCCCAAAGCTCTGCAACTGCATCAGAATTGTATGCTTGAACAGCCTGGGGTTTAGAAGAGTTCACACAGGTGTCTAAAGCAGACAGCAATTTTCAAAAATACTCAACTTTGGCCTAATGCTAATTCCCCCAAAGTGAAGTCAGACCTCCCATTTGCCCTCAGTGGGAACAGTGTTGTGCTGGCACTGAAAGCTTTTGGAAATATTGCTCTAAAAGTCAATATGCCTTTTATAGAGAGTCTATGAAAGCCATAATAGCTGCACAGGCTAAAGAAAACAGACTGCCTAGAAAAACAAATGCAAGAGAGAACCATGCTGGGATATATGGCAGAGGGCCCCAGAGCTGGTCACCGGCTGCATTTCACAGAGGACCCTTGGACAGGATCCATTCACACTGGCGCATTCAGCTCAGGCTTGCTTTATCATTTGACCATGTTTATCAAGAACTCACTCCTGCCACTCTGCCTTTTCCTCTTCTCCAACAGCAGAGAAACATGCTGGATGAACAAGTGACCAGGAACCAAGGAAAACCACAAAACATATGTTGCCCCTTACCCCACTGCTTCCCAGAATGATCTTCATATTCTCCATTGGAGCCTTCGGGTACCTGGCTGTCCTTTCCTGAGCTGGCATCATCTGCAAAGGAGAGGAAAGGCAAGATGTTAGGAAGATCTCCTACAACTCAACCTATATTTGGCATGCACATCCTGGCACTTACAGCTTGGCCAGTTTAACAAACTATTTAGTTTGCTGCTCGGCAGGCTACCCACACAACAGGAGATTAATCAATGTTTCCATTAATAACAAAAGCTTCTTTGTTTAAGTTTACAGGTTGCTGTTTCCTGGGAGGAGCTGATAGCTGTACTTCTATGCAAACAATGGTATAAATCAAAATTACAGCTAATTAAAACTGAGAGGTGGGGAACACTTCTATGATCAGTCACACAGAGAATGAACAGTGGAATTAGGGCAACTAATTTATCTTTAAGCTTTCATAAAAGATCAGAGAAACAAACAGGCTTACTGGGGTCAAATTAGCCCTCAAAGACATGCTGAATGCAAAGCTAAGGGTGGAGAAAGACAACAGTATTGAATAGAAAAGCATTTTTTTTTTTTTTTTTTTTTTTTTTAAAGCTGAGAACACCCATTCATCTGTAGCAATGACACACTTTGTCCCTTGTCACTATAGTTGTCTCTTGCCATTATCACTCAGCAGCCTCGCGATCTCCACTATGGGCCCCATACTGCTAGTGGAAACAACTAAAAGCTGAGACCGCTGCCCCTCCAGAGACCCCATCTCAAATTGCTACTGCACTAAGGCAATCTTCAGGGACAAGGGAGCAGAGGAGCACATTGAGCCTCCTTCCACAGCTACAGAAGTGGTGGTGCCTGTACTCTGTACTGTCTCTGTAGCACCAGGGTTGGGCCAAAAGACAGTAAGAGCCCCACATTTATCGCACAAGTGTTCATCTCAGAACATCCTCTTAAAGCAAAGCATTACACAGCATGGGGGGATTCAAGCGGAGAATGGTGGAGGGCGAGGTGTGATGGTCGAACTAAGAACACAGTTCTTCCATGGCTTCCCCCGCAGATACAGACACAGAGAGGCAGCATCACAGGACAGAAAGATTTGAGATAAAGAACAAGATCTTGATCAACAGGTACTCAGATTCTTGCTAAAGTGCATTGAAGTGTCTGAAGTTTGCGAGACTGAATCGTTATTTCAGTCTTGTAAGAGCAATTTAACTTTTCAGGATAGGTCAGGAAAAGGCAGGGAAATGGCCCACCACAGTAATGGCGTACCGCGCCTGCAGCATCAAATAACCCTCAAAAGGAGACCAGATTCCCAACTCAATGATCAAATCTCCCCATGTATCCACTCCTAAAACCCATATAGAAAAGATCTCAAGGGCAAAAAAGAAGAAATCTCTTGATTTAATCTCTGCAGCACAGAGGAAAAACCTATCTTGGCCCATACTTGCGTATGCCCCCACTCCCAAAAACGTAATCTCCAAATAGCAGAGCTGCTCTTTACAGCTGTTTTTGAGGTCGGATGTTGCCTGCAGAGTGTCTGGTGAGGAACCCGGGTGCAGCTTTGTGTTCAACCACTGTGCGTTCAACCCCATCGCCCTCCTAGTTCCTGCTCCTTGGGGAACACCAACAGGGCTCCCCAGCACGGGGCGCTTTCTGCGGCCATGTGCTTCACTCTCCTTGGCCTCTGCCTCCTGAAATGCCACATTGCTCCGTCCCTCCTCGCCCCGGCGGCTTCGTCCCCTCTCCTCGCGGTCGCTGCCGCGAAGTTCCCCCCTGCGGTATGTGCAGCTGTCACTCCGAGGGGAAAAGGAAACTTCCAAGGCAGCGGCATGCAGGGCCGTGGCTTCAGTGATCCCCTGTCCTCCCCCTCGCCCTACTCCATCGCTGGAGCCGTGCTGAGGCTTTCCCGGCCTGCAGGGAAGGAGCAGGGCCGTGCTCAGGGACGACAGGCCTGCGTGCACACACCGGGCGGCTGCGGCTCCTCCGCACCAGCAATCCAGGCCCTGTGTTAGCCAAGCCTCGCTTTACCACAGCGGCAAACCAAGCAGGGCTGCAGGCGAAAGCTTGGCCATTCCTAAATTCCTCAGCACAATTAAAAAAAAAAAAATGCACTGGGCAATAGAGGGGAAAAAAAAAAGAAAAGCCCATGGCCAAAGATGTAGGATTCCCGCCCGTTGTTAAGCTGCCGAGTATTTCAGAAGTGGCCAAGACGCTGAAGTGGCGATGTTCTGTCAATTATATCTTAATCGCACACGGCGGGGTGTACAAAGCGCGGCAGAGGCTCCCTTGCCCCCTGCCTCATGTTACGGTATGCGGGCCCGTGCGCGCCCCTCCTGCTCACCCGCAGTGCCTGCCTGGCATGCCCGGCACCTCCTGACAAGCTGCCAAGCTTTTGATGTCGGGAAAATTGCTCCGAATCGCGTTGACCCTTTGAAGATGCCTGTTGGGTTGTTATCCTGACAAATCCCAAACCTGTGGGGTAACCTAACAAGCCCAGAAAAAAATCATTTTTTTGAGCAGCGAGCTGCAGAACTAATGCCACCGAACTGAGCCTATGGAATAAATATTTTGGCAAGGGAGCAAGTTCTAAATAAATAACTGTGTGTATTTATGCAGGTTATTTTAGATCCACTGGAACCAGTTTCATGTTTGTTGGGAATGCAGCGACTTTATTGATAAAACATAGCAGAAGTCTCTGGGGAAAAAAAAAATGTCATGGACATGGAAACTCAACTCACACAAATGGAAATTACCCCATCCCCAATCTGAAGGAGTGACATTTCAGCCTCCACTCCAATACCCAGTGACCTGGCTTCCTAGCAAGTATGTTGAGTGTGATAGTATCTGGACTACCTTGTACTTGTGAGCTCTATCAAAAAAAAAAAAAAAAACTAATTCGTGAAATACCACAACTGTATGAAACTCAGCAAAGTTCATTTTGGGAGATTTCCTGAAACTCAAGAATCTATGATCAAGCTTAAAAGTGTGAGTAATCAGCAGAATTGCTGGTAATAAAACAATAAAGCTTTCACCTCGATGTGAGTGACCCAGGGTCAAGGCCCTCTTCTGCTGCATTCAGAGATGGCATTTAAACCTCCTCTCTTGCACCTTAGGTGAATGTCCTAAGTTCAACTGTGGTGTCACAGAGTCAATAAAGAGTTTACTACTATATAAACCTAAACTGCCCACCAAGAGACTGCTATCTCTTAGGATGGAAGACTCCAAGGTGGATCCAGGTATCAGCAAGATTTGGACTCCCACCTGCCTCTTCCAAAGGTAAGACCATGCCCACATAGGGAGCATTCATCTCTCCCCGTTTTTGGCTTTTGTAAAATTTCTTCCTTTTTTAAATTTTAACATTAGATAGTTTCCTACAGTACGGAATCAGATTTTGCAGTTTTTGTTCCCTCTGCTAGGAATTCTTTGTTTATGGTGGATATTTATCTGTTCCATGAAGACTCTGTGATCACCGTGCTCAATTACAGAGGGGGATCCAAGCTATGATGCTGAAGGCAAAACTGAATTTCCTCACTGTTTAAAGGGGTTCACCCCAAATCTGAAGTCTGAAGCAAGGTCTGAGTTATATCAGTGAGCAAAAGCACCAAACCCGTAACATCTTTTTAATAGTGCCAGGTCAGGAGATTGCTGTGCATTTCACCCCAATATTCTCCAAATGGTCGGGTTTCATAAACAGACAGCAGACCTACGGAAACAACTCACATTCAGATATGTATGAGCAACGTATAAAACAGTGCATTAGGAGCAAAAGCCACATGAGTCTTAGCCATATTCGGAAATGACCTAATAAGCTTATTGCTCATTCATGCTCTTGCCACCTCCCAGAGAGGCGAGCAGGCCGGCGTGATAAGTGCAGACAAAAAATATCATCCTGCAGTCGGAGGGTGGTGGGGACTTGGTGCACAGCGTTGCCAGCTTGGCTGCCAGGAGATTACTGCAAGAGGCTGTGCTAAGAAGGATGAGCCACTGAAGTTTCCTACAAGCTCCCTTTTCGCTGACCTCTAATGGAAGGTCATCCTGTACTGGACTTCTTGGACAGTATCACAGGCTTAGGAGAGCAGCCAGTTGGAAGACGAAGTGGAAAACTTGCCTTGAAAAATAATCACTGACTAATTTTATGTCACGAGTAGCCGGGGCTAGAAAAACACCCACTGTGTATATGATTTAGGTGCCCTCACCACACAATTTGGTTTCATAGAGCATGCTGAGCAGTCAAAAAAAAAAAAAAAAAGGGAAGGCTCTCCCACTGAGACACGATAGACTGGGGACAAGTGACAAACACATGTAACCCCTTTCCCTCCAAAGACCACATCTGGCTGTACAAAGTCTGAAATGCCACATGCCTTCTGGCAAGCAGCTGAGATGCCAATGCTCCGCAGGGAAGTGTGAGCTGGGGCTGAAAGGGAGAGCCACGGGCTTTTTTTTTTTTTTTTTTCCATGAGACTCAACACATCTCAATGTATGAAGCTCTTAATTATCAATGCTGAGGTCATGGCCAAAATTGCCCTTTCATCTCCTGGAAAGCACGGTGCTCTATGCACTGTGCCTACCATGTATCTTGTTGCTCTCCGTGCTGTCCTGAAACAGGCTCAATGGCCACGGTGAGGGGATTTCTCCAGGCAGCTCCATCAATTGGCAAAGAGCTTCAGGCATCCTACGGGATAACGAGCGCCATAGATACAGGACACTCTTTATTACCAGCACAGGGTTGTTCCATGCCCTCTTAAAAGTTAAAACTCATGGAAAATTCAGTCTGAAGAGAAGCTGCCGGGAAATATTCACAGGTTGTTATTGAACCAGGATCGAGTTTTATTTACCCGCTGACTTTCTGCAAAGGCTTCGTGTTCTCGCTGACTGGACACAACTTGTTTGCAGGCCAACAGCGGGTTCTGAGCACCCACTCCTGCATCAAAACAACGACCCAATTTATGATGCAAAACCTGGGCCCTCGTGTTTCCCTATGATTCACAAAGTTGCTTTAATTTGTTATAATACAAGGCCAGTCCCTGCTCTGCCTTGATGGGGCCAGCTTTGGAGCCTTTGATGTCGGGGCCTTGAAAGCCCCATTTCACAGATGAGCCAGC